AATCATGCTCTACAGATTATGCCGCGCCCGAAGTTCTCCAGGGCAAGTCATATCGAGGAAAGGAACAAGATATTTGGGCTCTCGGTATTCTCTTGTACACGATCGTGTACAAGGAGAACCCCTTTTACAACATCGACGAAATTCTGGATCATCCCCTTCGAGTCCCGTTTATACCGTTCTCAGAGGACTGCATCGACTTGATCAGGGGAATGCTTGATCGTGACGTGGACAACCGCTTAACAATAGGCGAAGTCATGGAGCACCCATGGATGGCCGACAGCTGAAACGCCCTGATGTCCGCGGGGTTTGTTTTGGATAAGGCGACTGCATCAACAAGGGAACATATATACTGGACATGATATGACAAATCCGAGTCCACGAAAATTCTTCTACATATCCATACCACCTATTTTACGCATAACAACAACAAATATAACAATAATGCCTCTTGCATTCTTCAATGCATTACGACCAGAAACGACCCGACAAGAATATGGTTATCATGACGGATGTAAGACAACGGTGGCTTTTTCTTTTACAGCAAATTGGGGTCGAAAGCCTAGTACATTGCCGTCACCTATCTTTCTCCTATTTTTATTCGTCCTTTTCGTTTTCCCCTTGAGTGTTCGATGAGGACAAAGCAAAAAAAGACTAGTATTGATTGATATAGAGGGCAGGAGATAGCGAGATACCCCGTGATATAGCTCGAACTATTTTATTTGGTTACAGAGGCATGTGTCTGTATTGGATTATTCTGCAATGAAGATCCCTCATTGAGCCCCGATGGCCAGCGAATTTTCGGGCGGGACCGTTGAACTAGCCGGGATAATGGATACACGTCTAGACCACACACTATCTTACTACTAGTAGTTAGTACTCTGTAGTAGTACAGTCAAGGCACTGCGATAATCCCACCTAAAGTGCGGGGTGAAGCGGGGATACAAAATGCGACAATGCCAGGTCCACAAGCCTCCAAAGGTCGGGCAATTTAATTGCCTTTCTCTCATTCTTGAATCCACGTTTTCCTCTTGGATGGCAAAGGGGTCGGACCAACTCCGCTGTTTCTCCGTTGCCCCGTTGGCGACATTTCTGAGGCCTGAACCCACCGGGTCTTCTCCAATCGCCATTCGGGGCCTGGAGAGCCAAGTTCCCCCTTGATCTGACTCGTCAATATATCAAGACATCAGCGCCGCTGCGGTGGCAAAGACTTAGGCGGCCCGGTGGACCATGGTCTGACCGGTCTGACCGGTCTGAATGGCCCAGTAGCCCAGGAACGGAGGAAGAAGACGTTTTTTTAGGCGTCGAAGGGGGGATGGGTGGGCGATTTGTGGACTATCACGTGATGCGCGGTTTCTGGGCCTGTTGTTATTCTGGTTGTGCTTAGCGAAGGCTAACGTGGCCGCTTCGTTGAACAGAGGAGAGAGCACGCTGACGATGCAGGCTCGGGTTCTTTCTATTCTGTGGTAGGTGGAAAGATTTAAGCTGTACTCTCCTACTCAGAGGAGGGTGGTGAAGGCAGAGCAGGGTGGTGAAGGCGGGTGGGGTGACTCGCTATCGATAACGAAGATAAGGTGTGGGGTGGTGTCGACTGCTCCATTGTTCCAATTCCAATGCATCATTCATTCAGTCGGTGCAGCATTCCAATAATTCGGGCGAATTATTGAACTCTGACAAAGGGGAGACTGGCAACTAACTTCGAGCCACCTCAGCCTGGACACCGATTCTGGACTTTGAATCTGAGATCCATTTCCGTTCCGCAGTCGTCTGACCGAGTGGCCCGAACTGCGAGCCTGCGACTCTCAGACAGGCCCTCTCCTCCACTTTCCACTTCACAGTCCAACCCACCTGCAGCTTGTCCCCAACCGTCTTCTTTTCTTCTTTCTCCTTACCGGCTGTTCTGTCTCTCGGTATCCCTTTGCGTCTTCTCGCGTCTCACTCTGGCTCCTGGGCTTCGTTTGCTGTTTCTCGAACACCGCCCATCTAGGTATTCATCATCTTGGCTTGTTCTCTCCTCCGTATCTTGGTCGGATGTTACGCGGAACGAGTCCCATGGTACGATTGTGACAGCCTTTCGCCGAGAACTAAACACCACCTTCGCCAGACTGTCAACCGCCAACCGTTAACCGTCCCGTCGCAGTCGCTTGACGCCTTCTTCCGGGTGACCCCCCGGCATTGCACACCTTCTTTTCACCTTTCGTCATCTCTTATCTTTTCGCTCCTCTGCTCGTAATTCCTGTTCTTGTGTTCATTCTTCTATCTATTTTCTGTTGTTGTCTGTGTTTGCAGCTGGAGTTTGGCGCCTTATCTTCCGTTGATTTCGGATCTTGACTATGACTCTCTGAGACCTCCGTCTTTGCGGGTTTCCGCGCTCGTCGCTGACTGCATTTTTTCGAAAACTCTCTTGTCTGCATCTTGGTCTAGGCGTGATAATTCGATTATCCACCGAGACTTTTCTTTCCCCGCGCTCTCCGAAAAGACAACACCACCCCTGTCAACAATGGCGACAGTAGACCCAGAGATCGTGCCATTCCCCGAGGCTCCAACCTCAGCGAGCCCTTCCTCATCAGCCGATCAGATTCCACTCGATCGGCCTCGTAAGGTGAAAGGACGACACAAGTTACTGCAGAGTCTCCAGCGAATTTCATCGACACCGTCATTAACCCGGCGCAACCGCTCCCGATCTGCCTCCACCACTTATCACCGACCTGGTGCTTCTCTATCATGTGTCTCACTCTCACAGTCGCCGTATGCTCCCTGTTCAAGTAATGGGAGCTCATCGCAGCTGTATGGTGGGCTGAACGTTAGTCCTGCCACTCCAGTTCTCCCGGGGTCTTATGTCGCAGATGAGCATGAGGGGAATGCGCGGGTCCGTTTCGTCTCAGATGCGGCAAATGGTCCACAATCAAAGACGATTGCGCTACCCAATGAAGTGAGACCAGGATCGAGAGGATCACCACTCGCATCTGGTATGCTCGAAAACACTGCCGCTCTCGCGAAGCCGAAGACGTTCGATTTCTGGGGGAAGATGCCCATCGAGCTCGGTATGCTCATCTTTAGCTACCTCACACCGAAAGAGATCATCAGATGCTCCGGAGTGTGCAAATGGTGGAATACCATGTGCTTTGACGGGCAGCTGTGGTCTACCGTCGACACCGCGGAGTACTACAAGCAAATTCCTCCTGATGCGCTCATGAAGCTACTGATTGCGGGTGGTCCATTTGTAAAGGACTTGAATCTCCGGGGATGTATCCAGCTATCAGACAAATTACAGACTGAGAGCGAGAGAATCACGGATTTGTGTCGGAATGTCGTAAACTTTTCTCTCGAAGGAAGTCGCATTGACAAGACTGCGATCCATTGTTTTCTTCTCCGAAACCAGCGGCTGCAATATCTCAACGTGTCGGGGTTGGATAGTGTGACTAACACTGCGATGAAAATCATTGCAAAGTCATGCCGTCAGCTTTGTACCTTGAATGTCTCTTGGTGTGCAAATATGAACACCAATGGCTTGAAGAAGGTTGTCAAGGCTTGCCCGATATTGACAGATCTTCTGGCCAGCGAAATCCATGGGTTTGATGACGAGGAGCTTTCCCTCGAGTTGTTCAAGCGGAATACCTTGGAGCGCCTAGTTATCAGCCGGACAGATATCACCGATGAAAGCCTAGGAATCCTATTGCACGGCGTCAACCCGGAGATGGATGTTTTAGAAGACCGAGCGATTGTGCCGCCCCGGAAACTCAAGCACCTAGATCTTCACCAATGCTCGAACCTAACTGATAGCGGAGTGAAAAGACTGGCGCATAATGTTCCCCGTCTAATAGGGCTCAATCTCTCAAGGTGTCCCGAATTGACCGACCATTCCATTATTCCCATCGTTCAAACAGTGCCAAATCTCACCCACATTGAGCTAGAAGAGCTGGAGAATCTCAGCAACACGACGCTTATCGAGCTTGCGAATTCCCCATGTGCTCCTTTCCTTGAACACCTGAACGTCAGTTACTGCGAGTCTCTGAGTGACCCAGGAATGCTGCAGGTGATGAAGAACTGTTTGTCTCTGCAATTCGTCGAGATGGACAATACCCGAATCTCAGACTTGACTTTGTTAGAAGCCAGCTCGCGTGTCCGGAAGCGCGGCTACAACGAGAACCTACCTCAGGTAGGCCTGCGCCTGGTTATCTTCGACTGTCCGAACGTGACCTGGGTTGGTGTACGACACATCCTATCGAGCAACGCCCACCTGCCACGTCAACACAAAGTACCTGACGCGGTCTCCATGGCCACCCAAGTCCTAAACAACACGAGTGCAGCTTCCGGATCATCGTCGCCCATAATCGCATCCTCAATCACGCCCCCGCCGCCGCCCACGGTTTACCCAAACCACATCATCCAACTTAAGTGCTTCTATCTCTGGCAGATGACCGTGGAGGAGCACACAAAGCGTGTCCTGCGTGGTGACCTCGGGGCCGCCAACCGACTCGACAAGAAGTGGTTCGACTACATGGTCGCCAATGAAGAAGCGGGCATTGCTGGTGCGGGTGCAAGAAGACGACGTCGTCGGGCAGCGGAAGCAGAACGCATTTACAACGAAGATGACGATGAGTATGAACCGTATGGTCTTGGATCTATGCTTGGAAGAAGACGAGCGCGGAGTGGCGGAAGCTGTGCCGTCATGTAAATGGATTAGATACATAGCGCACAAGATACAAAGGTACGACCTTTTGTGCGCCGATTTACTTGGTCCATACATGCTCTACCTATGCACGGTTTGCTGCCCTGGCAAGGTGCAGGGCTGTCTCACTGAATGCTGGTCATGATGAGACCATCACTCTTGCCCAAACCAAACAATGGGTATGCTGAAAAAGAATACCGATGGGTTCGCGGGGATTCGAATTCGACGGATTTCCCCCCCTTTTGATGACTGATATTATGATATGACTGGCGCGCCGTATCAGGCGACATACAACTCTCCCTTTTTGTTTCTTTCTTCTTTTTTTCGATCTCCTTATGTCATGTTTACCTTAGAAGGGGCTGGAGAAGTTGGAGTTTGATTTGGCCATGTTTCTGCAACCACTGTATCAGTTCCAGCACGGTCTGGCCTGACATTTGGTCCATATTTATTAGTAGGATTTATGTTTACCGCCCAACTAGCTATAGTAGAAGAAGAATGAATTGCAAAGTATCTATTTGGGTATCCGATAAATTGTCAAGCTCCAAATGGCGCATGTAATGCTTAAATATCGACAGACAGACAAGACTCCTGAGATGCATGAGTACATAGGCATAAACAGTGCACATGGCGAACGTAGAATGGATGCGCCGAATCAATCTACATCTCGAAGAAACCACCATCGCTCTCATCATCCTCATCAGCTGGGGTTGGGGCACGGTGTTTCGTGCCTTTCCCTTTCCGGGTTTCAGTTTTGCTCGCCTTGACAACTGCTTTCTTAACACCAGCCTTCTTCTCAATAGCATTCTTCGAACGAGATTTAGAACTCTCCGCCTTGTCCTTCTCTCCAGAGTCCGTTTCGCCATTCGGCCCAAGCTGTCCCTCCCGAAGAAGATCAAGAGTCCCATCCTCCATACATTTCTCAACAGTGCGCCACATAGCCAGCTTCTCTGCCGTAGCACTAGCGCTCAACCCATCCTCTCCATGCCTCTCTTGTTCTTCTTCTTCCATATCCTGATCTCCGCCCTCATCTTGCCCATCCTCTTTCCCCTTCTTCTTCTCCGCGTATATCGAGATATACTTTTCCGTGAGCGGGTAGTAGATGGTGTAGTTCAGGTTCACTCTAGCGATGCGCAGTCGAGCATCGAGTTTCTCCAGATTCTTCTTCCTCGTTCCCTCGTCGGTACTCTCGTCTGTGGTGTTTGCTAGCTCACCGCGTTTCCGTGTAAGTTTGTTGACTTCCTTCGTGGCCGTTTTGCGGTCTGTAGCGAATGAGAGTTAGCATCACATAACATGGTAAAAGAAAGAAAAAGAAGATAAAAAAGGAACGAATGTGACAAATGCCGTACCCAAGAACCGAACAAAATGGTACTTCTTAATCATCTTCGACCGCTCTCGCCTTCTCTCCTCATCCGCCAATTCCTTCTCATAGCCGGACAGCGCACGCTCCTGGATGATGCGCTTATCGGCGGGGAGATCGGGTTTAGCAAGAAGGCGCTTGACATCGCGGATGCGGCGTTTGAGGTCGTTCACGGAGGGATATTGTTTTTCTTCACGCTCTTGGGGTTGAGAGGACTTGGGTTTTGGCTTTGAGTAGGGTGTTTTGCGCTTGGGGTGTTTGGGGTCGAAGTCTTTAGGCATTTTGGTTGGTGGGTGTGTTTGTTCTTGAAAGAGATCGGTATTGACGCAAAGTTGTTTACCTAATACCGGAATATTTAAGATCTCTTGAATTGTATAGAAGATTGCTTGCTTGACTGCATGAGAAAATAGTCTCGACAAAAAAGCGTGGAACATCGTCGGGCCGAGCGAGCGGAGCGGAGATTGGAATCAATGGGTCGACGATCACTCGCCCGCTATCACGTTCCGAGTCCGACCTTGTCTGAGCTTCATATATCTAATTGCACGTTTCGAGTTCAACATATTGCTTGTCAGGCAGCTTGCTGTAAGTGCTGCGCAGCCAAACCAGTCTCCGTAGTGCTTCTGCCGTGCCTTGCATAGATCGCAATTGCAACATGCGCGTCACTGCTTGATTGCGCGCCCAGAACCCGGGGAATACCAGCCACCCGAATGGGTCTGATACGGAGTTCTTTGTCCAAGGCCCACCACTAGACAAGATATAAGCTCATTGGAACGAAACGAAGAGCAAAAATGGATAGAGCCATTCGCTGGTCCCCATCCTCCACCAAAGCAGAGCAGCGCTTCCTGTCCGTCGATGTATCAGGCAAAGCATTCCGCTTGTGCAAAGTCACCTCCTTCGACAAGACCAGCCAAATCCTAGGTCATGAAGTCCTCTCTACACATACCAAGGTCCCAGTCTTCCGGGCCTTCGACTGGTCGCCCTTCGACGAATCTCTAGTTGCGGTAGGGCAGTCGTCCGGCGATGCAACGATCCTGCGCATGCGTGAGGGCGACGACTCGCAGGAATCGTTCTCTTTCCCTGTGAGGCACCAGCGGTACTGCAATGCGGTTTCATTTAGCACCCATGGCCTGCTAGCGGCGGGGCTGGATAGGGTCCGGAATGACTTTTGCCTGAATGTTTGGGATGTTAATCAACGGCTGGCGACGAGGGCAACGAAGGGACATGTTGAGCCGTTGAGGAAGCTTGCGAGCTCGGAGCCCATAACCAGTGTGAAATTCTTTAGAGACCAGCCCGATACGCTGGTTACCGGGGTTAAGGGGCAGTTTGTGAGAATTTATGACTTGAGAGGTATGTTTCTTTTCTTGGAGAAACCGGGCCATCGGTGCTAGCTTGGCTTGCTAACTAGCGTAGAGGGGCCTGGGCTTCCATCGCTGCAGTTTCCGACGCGATGTGTGCACAACCTTGCTATTGATTGGCTCGATGAGAATTATATTGCATCGGGGTTGACTTCTAATGATTCTACTATTTGCATTTGGGATCGGCGGGTTGGGGCCCGTCTTTCTGCCGCTGCAGCTCATCTTGAGAATGGCCAGATGGAGTCAGCGCTTGAATTCAAGAACGTGACTGCCCCTAAGTCGGCGATCTGGAGTCTCCGGTTTTCAAGGACGAAGCGGGGCTGCTTAGGAGTGCTTTCAAGCAATGGCCATCTGAAAACATACAACATTGTCAAAGAATATGTGGCTGAAGAATACCGCTCTCCGATCGACCGAACGCTCGGACAGAACTCTGCCAGCAATTATCCGGAACAGATTTACACCAAGTCGGTTCGTGATGTATTTACTCCTTTTGACCACCCTTCTCGTGGGTACGAGGAGTCCGAACGAGTGGTGTCGTTTGATTTCCTCAACATGAGCAGCTCCAATGAGTCGAGTGCTCTGACCCTATCTGCAGACAACCAGATTAAGATTGTCACCGTCAAACCTCCTCCCCCTCCGGTGCGGCTATCTTCCCAAGGGACGCTGGTATGCGGTGGTCCTGATGAGGACTGCAACTTCAAGTCTCTTCAGCCTGTTGGAACTGAAGACTCCAACATCGGGAGGGTAGCGAAAAATATACGAGACCGCGCTTTGAAAAGACAGGATGAGCAGGATGCATCAGGTCAAAGTCGTACAATCCGAGATAACACCGGGCAACATCTTTCCAGCAGGGAGGAACGAGAGCGCATGTTATATGTTGGGACTCTGGGTAGTCCTTTGACCGCAGAAGAAGCATTGACTCTCTTGACGGTGAACAGGCTACGATGTAAGGAAGGATATCTTTTCAATGAAAAGCGGAATAAACAACTACTTGCGGATGACCCATCATTGCAGCATTTCTGGGACTGGATCGAGCGTAAGTGCTTACAAACTAGGCTAGGTGAAGTCTTATACTAATTAATTAGGGGCTCGTATTGATTCTTCGAATGACTCAATGGTGATGAACAACCTGGACTTGAATTATTTGGGTGTATTTGATGTCTGGACAGGAGATTTAGGTAGGCTTTCAGTCTCTAGAGGTGTACAGCAGGACTTCAAGTGAGAAGACTAACCTTTTCTGTATAGGGCCGAGCTTTGAACCACGGTTGCTAGGTTCAAGCCCCGCGCACTACCCAGATATCAACGATACCATTGTAGATTTAGTGCAGGAAAAACTTAGCCTGCCCACTATTGAAACCCTACAAACACGTTACTCAGAGCAAAGACGTCTCGGGCTACGGATATGTGGTGCAGCTCAGTCGTATCGTGAACTCGAAGAGCTCGTCAAGACCTTGTCTGCTGAGAGTCAGCACACGAAGGCAGCCGCTCTAGCGGTCTTCCAAGACGAGCCCAAGTTAGCATATCTAGCCCTACGAAGCCACACGCCTACGCAGGCGCATAAGCTTCTCGCGATGGCAATTGCCGGCGCTTCGAAAGGCAAGGCAGACCCTGACTGGGAAGAAACCTGTGCGGAGATTGCAAGGGAGCTTACTGACCCGTATGCACGCGCGATAATTGCGCTCGTCAGCAAAGGTGACTGGCTCTCTGTTATCCATGAATCTACCCTTCCCCTGAAATACCGTGTCGAAGTCGCTTTGCGCTGGCTTCCGGACGACGACCTCACTACTTACCTAACCGAAGCTACAAAGCGAGCTGTCCAACAAGGCAACATCGAGGGCATTGTCCTCACTGGGCTTGGCCACTCCGCGATGGATTTATTCCAGTCCTATATCAACAAATTTAACGATGTCCAAACCCCTGTACTTGCAATGAGCCACACAGTGCCGCGGTTCGTCAACACGGCCGCGAACAAACACCGCTTCGAGACCTGGCGAGAAGCATACCGCTGGCAAATCAACTCATGGAAACTACAAATCGAACGCGCCCGGTTCGACGTCGGATCCCGCAAATTCGCGGCCACCTGGGACGGGCGCCGACTCATCGAGCCCCCGCGTCAACAAGTCAGCTTAACATGCAACTACTGCACACGACCACTGACGCAGCACGATGCCTCCTCCCAACTATCCCCATCCGCCGGTGGGGAAGTCGTCCACCCTACCCCAGGCAACCCGCTAGGCACAGCCGCCATGTCAGGGACTATCTGTCCACGCTGCGGACGACATATGCCCCGATGTGGTGTCTGCACGCTCTGGTTGGGATCCCCTGATCCAATGTCCAAGGCGTGCGTGGCGGCAGAGACAGGAACAGAACACGGCAAAATTTCCGAAGGAGAGATAATGCGACGGTTTATTGTTTTCTGTATTAATTGTAACCACGGCTTCCATGCGCATCATGCGAGGGAATGGTTTGGCAGACATAAGGTCTGTCCAGTTGCGGGGTGTAGTTGTATTTGTGACCGATAATACCCATAGATTCATTTGCATTGACATACTTGACTGATATTATTTCATGAATTTCATTTCCCTGCTAATTAGCACAAGAAACATACCCGAGAGCTGTAAAGACTGTAAAGAGCGACTTGCTGAGGAGGAATGTGGATTGACGCTGATCGGATTCGAGATCGAGTCATGGAATTTTTGGCTGATGACTCTCAGGTCTGACCAACTCTCACTCATACACACTCACAAACCACTGACTCACCACAAGCTCACACACTTTTAATCTCCCGTTGACATTCACCATCCTCCAAAATTCCCTTCCTACTCAGACTCACCTATAAAGTCCCCCTCCTCCCAGCGGGCTTGTCGCATCAGCTCGCTTTCCGTCCCCGACAAATTCTCCGCCGACCCCCGCATAACCCCTCGAACCACTACCACATCCTCAGCAGAATGCCGAAACCAAATCATCGCGGCGGGGGCCGCGAAAAGAAACCCGCAAGTCGCGAGGTAACAATCTCAAAAGCACTGAGTCTCCTCCTTCGGCATGCCGCAGAGCGCGAAGGGCTTAAGATCAACTCCGACGGCTACGCGAATGTCGCAGACGTGGTATGCCCTCTCTTCCTTCCCAAGCTACCACAAATTGAATAATCAAGCTAATCGATGATACCTACGGAAAAAAAAAAACAGCTCGCATGGCAGAAGCTCAAATCACAAAAGGTCACCTTCGCCGAAATCATAAACGCTGTCGAAACATCAGATAAAAAGCGCTTCGCTCTGTTTTACCTCCCCTCCGCTTCTTCCTCTACAGACGAACCTCCAACAGCAAACCAAGACTCTTCAATCGCGGCAGAAGAAGCTGCAACCGAATCCAATCAAAGCGAAACCGCGACTGCAGCAGCTCTTGCAGCCTCAAAAACAGACCTAAAGCCATCACATTACCTCATCCGCGCAACGCAAGGCCACAGCATTAAATCAGTCCAGGCCGAGTCCGGGCTACTTGAGAAACTCACACTTGATGAGCCAGATAAATTACCCGACACTGTTGTGCATGGGACGTTTCATTCGACATGGCCGCTGATCCTGGCCTCTGGCGGATTAAAATGTATGGGCAGGAACCATATACATTTTGCGACGGGTCCCACGCTACCGGATGCGCTGGCCGATATCGCTAGCAAGGGCGAAGGAGGTGGTGCGGGTTCTAGCCCTGGTTCCAACGGCCAAGTCATATCCGGAATGCGCAGGGATGCGCAGGTTTTGATTTACATTGATATTCGGAAAGCACTGGAGGCCGGGTGTCCGTTCTGGAGGAGTGAGAATGGAGTTATTCTATCCGAGGGGATGGATATAGGCTCAAACTCGTCGGTTGGTGAAAACGGCGAGAAGGTGATTCCATTGGACGTTTTCAATGTTGTCATTGAGCGGAGGAAAGGGTTCGGGAAGATTTGGGAGCACGGAAAGGAAATCCATGCCCTACCGGAGCACTTGACCAAGAAAGGGAATCCGAAGTTGCATGGGAGGAGATAAATAAGCACTGGCCTGTGCAGCATAGCTAGCCTGCTAGGTAGCTCTAAAGGCGCTGGCCCACTTTATCTTGCTAATCTGTACTCGTTCAATATCGAACCTGGTCTCAAATTCAAGAATCCTCTCCCTGGGGACAATTAGGGAACGCTGGGAGAATGAGACTGAGGACATCGGGCAACATAAAAGGATGAGTTAGTTAGGGTTCTTGAGAAAACGAACTTGAGTTACCACATCAACAATGGATAAATTCCCAGGTATCACAAACATAAGCTATATACAACGAAACAAACAAGCTCCGACGTCCCAGGAAATCAAGCCCCGTTAGTCTTCGACTCGTCCGCGACCAATTTCACATCGTAGTTCAGCTCAATTCCAGCTTGAGAGTCGCCCTTGCGCTCAACAAAATCAACGATTAGCGAATCCTTCACCGCGAAGACCGAGTCGTTCGTCAGGTACGGGTCCTTGCGGTCGAAAATTTGGGTTGTCAGCGGCCTGTAGCCATCGTATGTTGCCTGTACCAGCATCAGTACCATGTCCGATTAAAACCCCCGGATGGGAAAGACGATGATTAACATACGATAATATGAATATGCGCCGGGCGGAATGGATGTCTATCCATGAGCTTCAACAACTTCCCCGCAGGCCCATCATCGGGAACAGGGTATGGCGTCGGTCGCAGACAGTAAAACGAGTAGAATCCATTCTCGTCCGTCTTGAACTTCCCTCGGAGGTTGAACTCCTCCTGCTCGGGGTCCTGCTGCTCATACAACCCATTCGTGGAAGCCTGCCACACCTCAACCACCGCACCAACGAGCGGCTTCTTCGTCTCAAAGTCCATAACCCGACCGTTCATGAATGCGATCTCGCCCTTACCGTCTTTCGGGACGGTCTTGACAATGTTCTCCCCGTTTGAGCGGAAAGGTGTGTCGGCGCGGAAGAAGGGTCCTAGAATTGCAGTTGCGGTCGGGGCATCGGCGGCTTCATCGGCAAGCTTAAATGTGATTTCGTCGACGAGTCTATATTCTAGGATTAGCAATGGTCCGGGACCGCTCTGAAACGGGGTTTGAAGAGGAACATACGACTCAAGTCCGATAACGTCGCAAACCAACTGCCCCTCATTGCGCTTCGCATTGCTCATCTGCCCCGCCCAATTCAAGAGCTGCACACCGGCCATCCACTCGTCAACGGTAAGTTCATTGTCGCGTGCAAAATCATGTACATGTCGGATCAACGATGACATGAGCTGTCGGAACCGCGGGTTGACATTGTCGCCCATCGCGCTGACGACATTGTCTGTGAAATTGGGGTCGAAGCGGTGGGTGGCCATTTTTATTGCTGTCCCTGTCTAAATCTTAAGATTTATGGTATATTATAGAAGGGGAATGAGAGGAGAAATGAGAAAGATGACTGGCCGCTCCATGATGGAAGCGTCGGAGTGCTTTTATATAGGGAGCTTGATCTTTGGTAGGAGCATCTGCCAATGGAAAAGCGTGTAATTCGCGACACACCCCAGACTCCTCATTCTGGAAAGAGACCCCGCACTTACGTGCGGTTCTTAAGTCGGAAGCTTGCTGGTCGTATGACTGCAAGGCGAGGTTCTTGCTTCCGACATGGAGTGGATGTTTCTTGATCGCGATCCGACTGTTCGGATGTCGGATAAGAGCACACTCGACCAATCAGCGCCCGTCACTATCCGCCACCATCGAAGCTCGTATGATTGACAGCAGTACGACAGCGAAGTGCGTGCGTAGGGACGGAGTCCAGGTGGGAGAGAGGCTTGTTCCATTTATAGTATACTATTCAGTAGCTCTGCCCAACAAACTCGGAAATCGCAGTTCCAACCGAGTCTGGCGCCTCAATACAATGCCAGTGTCCAACCTCTTTCAACACCTCCATCCTCTTGTTCTTACTTGACAAATTATCAAATATGTACTGACATCCTTCCATGCTAGCCGACTTGTCTTCCTCCCCAGCAATCAGTAAGAATGGTACTTTTATCAATGAGTAATCGATAATGGGCGCGTTGGCGATGGCCTGGCACAGCGCCGCATATCCCTTCGGGTTCTGTCCGAGGACGAGTTCGCGGATGAACGAACGAGCTAGATGGGAGGCTGCGGATCCAGTGGCCTGGTATGGAATGCTGTTCGCTAGTGACTCCATGCCGCCTGTTGTTGTTAGCAGCCACCTTAGTTTCCCCCCGAAAGATCTTACCTTGTGCCGCGGTTTCACTGCGTTTTGACATCACTGAATGCAGAGTCTCAGTTGGATGAGTTGGCCCAATTGCGACAATCCCTTTCACACGGTCTGCATGCTCCGAACCTAAGAGGGTGACGACCAGTCCGCCCATAGAGTGGCCAACCACCACGGCTTGAGGAACGTTCAATGCATCGAGTACTGCGATCACATCTGCGGCGATGGATCCGATAGATACAGATTGGTCTGTGTACGGAGAGCGGCCGGAACCGTAGGTGTCCGCAGTGATACAACGATGCTTTGGAGTCAGGAATGGGAGAACCGGTAAGTAGTAGTTCTGTGAGGAGCCTAAGCCGTGGATGAAAAAGAATGTGAGTCCGCCCGCAGGAGCTCCGTCGGGATGGGAGTCTGCATAATGTAGTTGGTGGTTATTGACTGAAATGAATGGCATCTTGGGGGGGTTTGGTTCAGGTGAATGTTTACCAGCTTGAAGATGTCAAGATGAGAGTTGCGGGGTGTTGGAGCCAAACAATCGAGGCCGCTAAGATAAGATACCAAGTACCGACGTCATCCCCACCGAACCACAGCTCTCCTTCCGATCGCCAACCCATCGAAGCAGGCGACTATTTCGGCAGCTTCACCGCAATCCCATTAATTTCGTCTGCTGCCTCTTCATCCGTCGGATGATCGGGATAGTGAAGTTTCAATATATCACCGACAGCTCGCCGTCTAACCCGACGGGTCATGGAGGTGTTCTCTATCCGAAGCCCACCCGCACTGCCCCGACGGATCGGAAAGCATGCATGAGGTTGGATATCGCACTCGGATATACTATGCCTCTCATGTTTTGGTGTGAATATACATATATATATATATCCCCGGCGTTCAAGTCGCATCCAGCTGAGCCAATTCTTGATCAAAGCTGGCCCCTGGGTCAAATTCGGGTGCAAACTCTTCTAGGAGGATTGCCGTATCGTCTTGGAAGGAATCACCGCTCAAGACTGTTGCAACTGATACCTGTTCTTCCAAAGCAGCCCCGGAATATTTGATAATATCCTCATCGTAGAAGGCGGAGCATTCAGAGAATTCGTCCTCATCCTTTCCTTTGACATTTAGACCGGGCCCCTCGGCATTCGCATCCGTAGGCACCTCGGCCTCACCAAGAGCAATAAACATACCGTCCAGCTCCTCATCTTCCAAGCTCGGGTCCTCATCTTCGAACTCAGTCGCTACCTCCGTCTCGCTGCCATTGCCACTGCCACTACCACTACCGGTGTCGACCTGCTCTTTGCTTTCCTGGCTTTCAGGCTGAACAGATGGCGTCTTCTTTATAAAATTGAAAAGCAGTGGTTGACTTGCAGGTACAGAAGCTGCATTGGGATCCGGGATACCAGATCGGATTCGTTCCTCGCGAGCCTTTGCCTCCTTCTCCGCTTTCTTCTTCTTCTCCTGAATGCGCCGCTTCTCCTTATCCCGGAGCTTCTGTGCTCGACGTTCTCGCTCTTGCTCGCGCTCGATCCGTGCGATTTGGGATGCCGTAAATTGGAACCGTTGGTTGCTGCGCTGATATCGACGGCGGACAGTGCGAGACTTTTCAAGAATCACTCGTGGTTGATCGGGCATTGTTATGTTGAAAAGGACAGCGGATTCTATGTCGGGTAGATGGTGTAGAGGGTAGACATCGAGTAGGTGGGGTATAAATTCTGGGAAGATAAAGATAGGGCAATGAAATGAAGGCAGTGAGGCCTGCCTTGCGGTTGCCTGGAAACATTTACTACTGCTGATTGCTAGAGGTAAATAAAAGCGCAAGCATGACCTGGCACGTGATTGTCCGTTCGGTGGATGGTGACCCACCCTTATCGATAAGTGGATTGAAGAACTAAGCCTTTTCAGGACATGTCCCGCACTTTTGTTGCCTGAGGCCTGCAATCGTCATCAGAATTATCGGAGTTGTGATTGAAGACAAAACCCTTCCCCAGATTCAACAACACTTGGCCAATTACTCATATACCTCCCCTTGATCATATAAATCAAATCACCGCGATGCGCCTCGTCAAAAACAAAATCGAATATGGCGGCGCCGGCAGCGTTTCTCTTATCCCCGAAGAGCCTGAAGACATGGTATGTCACCCCGCTAGGACAGCCCCAGCAACTCCTCTCACCAGTGTGATACTACCAGTGGCACGCATACAACCTCATAGTCCCCGGTGATCTCCTGTATGCAACCGCCATTCGTCGCGTAACAACAACCGCTGCATCAACGGGCTCAACGAGCTCTTCGCGCGTCCGACTCACCCTCGAAATCCGAGTCAAGAACCTCGACTTTGACCCTCAAAACTCCCAGCTTCACGTTAGCGGGCAGATTGTGAATGAGACGCCGCATACGAAGATTGGACAGTATCATACACTTGATCTAGAGCTCAATCGGCAGTTTACGTTAGAGAAGGGGTCTGGCCCGGATAATGAGGGGAGCGGGTGGGATAGTGTTGCCGTCGAGGCGTTGAAGGATGCAGTTGACGAGGGTGGGAATCGGAGAGCGGAGGCCATAGCCGTCGTTATGCAAGAGGGAATAGCACACATCTGCTTCATTGGGCAGTTCCGGACGGTATTGAAGCAGAAGATTGAGATGTCTGTTCCGAGGAAGAGGGCTGGCGGGAGTGATCATGATAAGGTACATTGATCCCTATACACCAAGGAACAAAAAATCACATCTATGGGTTTTCTTTAGTGCTAACTAACAACAGACCATGACGAAATTCTACCAAACAACCCTCGACACTCTCCTCCGCCACATGGAATTCAACACTAGTTCTACATCAATGACGACTAACGACGCCGTCCGCCCTGTCCTCCTCGCTTCTCCCGGCTTCGTCGCAGCCGCTTTCCAAAAGCACATCCAATCCGTTGCAAACACAACAACCCCAGCGCTCAAACGTCTCCTCTCATCTGTCGTCGTCGTCCACTCCGCCTCAGGCTACCTCCACTCCCTAACAGAAGTTCTCCAATCGCCCACAGTTAAAGCACTCCTCAGCGAAACCAAGCACGCGCGTGAAACGAAGCTAATGGATGACTTCAACGAGCAACTACGTAAGGAGACTAACAGGGCTACATACGGGCCGCGCGAGGTCGAGCATGCCGTTGATCAGGGCGCTGTGGGCCGTGGCGGCGGGGTGCTCATCATCTCAAACAGACTATTCCGGTCCCAGGATGTGGCGGAGAGGAAGCGGTGGGTTTCACTTGTAGATCGTGTGCGAGATGACGAAGGGGGTGATGTACGGGTCCTAAGCTCTGAGCATGAGAGTGGGAAGAGGCTTGATGGGCTGGGAGGTATCGCGGCACTCCTGACGTTTCCTGTCGACGATGAGGATTTGCAGTCGGATAGCGAATGATAGATCAACAACATTTTATGTTATTACTCTTGTTTCAATTGCTGCCTATTAGCAGTGATACCATTTCCGACTTTCCAAGTACAGTCAATGCACGTTAAATAGCTAGAGGTCTGACACCGTAAGCAAATTGTATTGATAAGCGAAATGCAACAAAACTTCAAAACAATGCGGAGTGCAAATACGAGGATGTATTGAGTTATATCATACATCAAACAAACACTCAGGCATCATTTCCCCCAAGCGGCAGGATCTCCGCCATCCAGCCAGGATCCAACGGACCAGAATCAACCTTACCCGCTGTCCGCACCGTCATTGACTCGTTCGGAGAATCCCCGACTCCAAATCCAATCTGAGGATCGCCGAACGTTTTAATTTAACTACACTGGCTGGGGGACTAGGCGACAACTCAACTCAGCCTTCCGAACTTTCCAAGATAGACTCTCGGACTCTCTGATGATTCGAAAAGTCTCAAACCAGGACCAGTAAGGCACACCAGGCACCAGGCACCAAACACCGGGGCACCACGCGTCTCTCCAATCCTTTGGACTCCACTGGACCTTGGCCCAGTCGACAGTGCTTCTACCGAGGATGGCCCCAGCCCAAGGAGCAGTTCGTCCGTGGATCCACCATTTCACCGTTCATTCATGACTTTGCAGCGCGCGGAACCCCGATATTCCCTATTAACATTGATAGGCATGGAGTTGGCACGTTGAGACCAGTCTAGGCCCCTGGGCGTCAAAAGTGACAGGATTCGCGAGGAAATTAAAACCCGGACACGGGCCAGAGAGTGGCAACAGTACATTCGGCAATGCTCTCTGCTCGGTCATTAATATTCACAAAATTTCGCTGATTGATATGCGCGGAAATGAGTGCCCTGTTGCCAAGGACGCCGTTCAGGGACCGGCAGGTGTCGAAGGATTTCTAGCGAGGAATGTGGCTTGCCAGGAACCTGCACTGGTGTCTTGGTTGGGTTTGGTTCCCTGGGTCGAGTTCAAAGTTTGGTTTCTGGTCTAAGTTTCTTTGTGAAGCGGTTTGATTAAAGGGTTGATCATCGAGTGTATACTTTCAAGGAAGTGTATTGTGCGAGTCAGGACTATAGTAATGAGCGGACGGTATGGGTATATTGTGAATCAGTCAAATATGCAAGGCAAGGCAAAAGGTGCGCCGAGAAGAATCCAATCCCAACTATGCAAAATAAGTGCGCATCACTCGCATCCATGCAATCTTCCAGGTCCCAACAAGATCAAGGCTAGAAACAATGCGCCCAAAGTATATATGAGTAAATAATCAAACAGGTCTATGAAAGGGGGGGGAAATTGCAATGCATATCTCAATGTAAGGTTAGGTTCCTGTCTTTGTTTTCTTTTTTTCTCGGGGTGTCTTTTTTTGAGATGCTTTCTCTCCAGGTTCTTTCGTTTCTGTTCGCCGTCGTTTGCGTCGAGGTTCTGTTGTATGTGATTGTTGAGCGTTGTCTTGCTCTTCTCTTTCTCGCTCCTGTGCATCAATATTATCTAATTGAGCTTCACATTGTTCTGCTGTAAATGTAGTTGTAGCTCCTAATTCCGCCATCTAGAAAAAGACTGTTAGCAGAGAAGTCTTGCCATAACTAATAGATCTATGAGTGCTCGCCTTTTGTGCAATAAGCCTGTACTTCTCCTGCTCCCAATAATGTCTAGCGCGTAAAAGAACTCGAACCTGCAACACCCCATCGTTAGCGGAACCATCCACAACTAGAATTGCTGCCCTGGAAAAATATAAATAAAGCAGAGCAGTCTAACTCAAACTTGCCGCGGTATACTCACGCACATCATGCTCATCCCAGCGCGCCAGTCGTTCCTTGCGCCTCCGGACCTGCCGCATCTGCAGGCGCGCCTCCGTAGCATCCTTGTTGTACCTCTCGCGGAACATATCCCGGATAGTTCGCCACGAGAGGTTCTGCTCACGGAGGCCTTCGACAAAGGCGTCTTCCTCCTCGGCCTGCGGGTCTTTACGCCCACGCCCAGGAGCCCGGGGCCGCTGCGTGTTCGGGTCGCCGTAGCTTTGTCGTCGTTGCTGTTCTAGGAGTTGGACCCCATGTGGGTTTGGGAGGATCTGAACTGGCGGGTTGTGTGGTGCAGGCTGTCTGGAATCTCGACGTTGACGACGCCGCGGTAATGAAGGTTGCGGGGAGATGGTTTCTTCTCGCAAGCCGGTGTAACTGGTTGGTGCGATTCCCAGACCGAAACTCGCGTCCCGCGTGAGTTCGCTGGGGAAAGGAGTGGTGATGCCCAGGCCATGGTGAGGGATGGCGGAGTCGGAGACGGGATATTGGTATTCTTGCTGTTGGGAGTGGTTGCTGAGGACTGGGCTGGTGCGGGTGTGGGCCTGGGCGTACGAGCTGTCTGGGAGGCTGATTGGTGTGAGGATGGCGGGATTTTGGTATGCTGATGCATTGTATGGATGAGTGACTGTTCCGTAGGGGGACTGTGCGTGGTGGAACCAAGGGTTGTTAGTATAGGTTTGCGCCGACAAGGTATGCTATGTAGTTGTTTGGGTTATGCTTACACGCTCCATCACCGGCCAATGTGCGTTGATACCCCCGTAGAATTCGTCCATTGCCTCGTTCGGGTTGCAACCACCCTGTCCAAACGACATTGGTCTGAAGTCCCCGCTTGAGGACTGACAAAACATAGAAAAGAGTCAATCAGAGGTTGGCTGGAAGCGCCGAAGAGAAGCTTCGTGGGTGGACCAAGGGAAAACAATGAAACACTCTATGAAACAGACAGCAGGGAGGCCTGTATAGAGGGCGGCAAAGTGTAGAGGTTCGACGAATGAATCGAAGTTTGGGGGGTTGTACAATATATGAAATCTTCTGGAACCTTGACGCCGGGGTGCTGAGCAGCTGATTCGTCGTTCGAGTGAGGTATATGGATTTCAACAGAAAGCCTTCGTTATAAGCGTAATAAGAAGATAGATATAGAGGAGAATCCTTAGTAGCGGTGCCGCGGACCTTCATATACTCGAGTCGACGATATCAATAGAGGCCAGAATGCCTTGCGAGGCAAAGCCAGGCATGAAAAGCTCTTGTTTCAACAACAGGCCCACAGAGCACGAGAATGTGTGATGGATGCCGCCGACCATTACCGTGCCACATGAACCTTCTCCAAACAAGAGGCCTAGGATGGAAGATGGTCTCTGCATTTAAGCGCCCAACTGTCCCGGGGGACCGGGCTTTTCTAAGAATCGACCATCTCGCAGCTTGCACAATGACATGGGAATTAGAAAGGTACTAGCTAGAATCTAGCCCCCAATCCTCGGGGCTCAGACTCTGCATATTATTTTTCAAGGCCCACTGCGCCCATTCTTGACAGGGGCCAAGACTGGACCGATCGAAGTCCCAGGGCTCCGGATCTCCAGGGGTGGGAACTTTGAAAGAGGAGTCAATGGCGAAGCTGCGAAGCGAGGCGACTAAGGTACGGGATTAGCGGCCGTAAGGCCAAATGAGAATCGCCTGGTTAGCGCTAACTCGACAAAAAGTGGTTATCGGCTCCAATTTCGACTACGAGGAGCAGCGCGCGGAAGCTTTTACGACAAAGGGCTTTGAAAGTACGTAGATCATCCGGGGCGTAATCTCAACGGCGATGAAAAAAGATAAATGTAGTCGCAGTAGCGTTTGGCACCTAACAAGTTGACCAGCTACAACAAAGAGAATTGGGGGGGTGGTGGACTTGGAGGCTTGTAGCCCCCAAAAACCGCAGTGGAAGGCGGGAAATCTTGGTTTCATTATAAGGACTGCAGCGCAGTACCTCTGGAATTCTTGGCAATGCGCGTAGCCAGGGCACAAGACCAGACGGAAAGTTTTGAAAGAAGCTTCGAAAAGAGTCCAAAACTCAAGAGTAAGCCAGTCGTGGCTCGTGGACCCGTGGTTGATCCGATCAACTGGAAGGCGTGCTTCTTTTCTTATTGCGGCTGTAAACCCCATGTGGATAAGGATGCACCGCCTAGGATTAACTCGGTTTAGCGTGGCAGGGCCGCATCTCCTCGTCTTGAATCGAACCATAAATGAACGCAATTAAACGCCCTGTCTCGGCCCTGTGGTTGGCGGAGTGCATCGTGGGCCTGCTTTGGCTGCCAGCCTGCCACTGCCGGGGGCGAGAAGATGGAGCGTAAGAGCGTTGGTGGAACTGCCCAATTTAGTGCTTCATGGATCTTTTTGAATTTTTCCTATTTTCATTTCATTCTATTTCTCATCTCACGGACCCCACTAAGCCCTATCTCCATACTCTGGCCCAAACTGTCAGTCTTCAAGTAGCCTGAGTGGGAGAACTAGAAGCAAGGGTCTGCGCATGACTGAGCCTTTGCAGGGTCCCTCCTCAGTTCCTCCCGGCAACATGCATTCACATCCAACAACGACCACGTGTGCCTAAGGACAGTGGCTGACTAGTGACTACGCGGCTGGCGACTCGAGGATGCGGTCCTCGAAGGATTCTCGAGCAACGGTCTCCAATGGATAAGAGAGGGGCATGAGCTGGAGGCGAGCCCGGCGCCTAAGGTTGGAATATCATGGACAGCCCAGTTCATGGCGGTGGGGCACGTCGTATTCAGGTGAATTTATTATTCGACCCCCAAGAACAGAAGCGGAGAACATGATGCCAGGGCTCCTCGGTTGATTCGAGACAAAGCCAGAGATCGTGACGGGATGTCCGTCGCTTCTCTCAACCGAGATCTGGTGCACGTGATCTGTGTGCACGTGGTCCTCAAAGAGCCTACCAAAATAATAACTAACTTACATCAAATAGCAATCGTCGAATAATCCTCGAACCTGACAACGAACGGCGCAGGGATCGAAGAATGCAAGATGCTAAGCTCATTAAACAATAGCGGGCTCAATTAGAGTATAGTAATCCGGTCTGAGCTTCCTGCACCCAGCCGGACGACCCGAAGCCGTCATTTGTCGACGTCGTCTAAAAATGAACAAGGCAGTTTTCTCTTCGTCAGGCATTTTTCAGGCCTGAGTGGCCTCAAACGGCCCCTTATTCAATTTCGCTCTCTCTACCCGTCCTGAGTGGTGTGATTATTGTGATTGTCTTGTTCCTGATTTCCACATTGTTCTCATCCTTCTATCGTGGCTATGCCCTGGCGCAGCAATGGCTCAGACGGGCTAACTAAAACAAATGCCATGGTTTACAAAGACTACAACCGCCCACAACTCGACAACTATTCTGTACAATTTGCTTATTTATTCCAGGCTTATTACTTCACCAAGTTTATATTTAGGTCTGTCTGTTTATATCGCTTACTTGCGCACTTGCGATAACTATTCAAAGTGGTCTGACGAGGACTGCCACGGCAGGGCTGGTGGCCGGCCCCAAAATGAAGCATGAAGCTGTCTGACTGTCGACTCGAGGAGCTGCCAGGGCTCACCACCTACCCTCCAGAAGATAATTCAATATCACATATCTATATTTGAATCCATGTATGTGGGATGCTCAGCATATGTGAGAGGACCGTGCCTCGTCGACTGGCACAGCCAGCGATCGCGTAGCCTCCCCGTTATGTGTAGAGTAGCTAGCGGCGTTCGTCTTCCGCGAAACCCTCCGCATCCTGATCCGTCGCCAAAGAGCGCTCATTGTGCTGGCCTTCTAATGTATCGTCGGCTGAGACGGAGATTCCCCGCGCACCCCAACGGTTATTCGTCGGCTGGTGGTCGCCGTTGTCATCGTCCTCGCCGTGGAGTCTCTGCTCTTCCTCATCCTCGCTTCTTCGCCGCCTAATATTGAACACCTTGTTCACAATATAACTGTTCCGGTAGTCTTCTGAATCAACAACCCCTCCATTCCGGAGTTTCACGCGTTGGCGAGTGTAGTAGACCCAGGCAAAGTCGATATAGAATGCGGTCTGGACGGCCCCGAAGATGACCGAGATCCAGCTCACATTGTTGTCACCTCCGACTCCCCGAACGAACCAGTTTACTATGTAAAACGCTCGGTAAGATCCCAGCATTAGAAGATAGTATGAATTGATAACAGTGGGGACGGTAGTCTGGCGAAGAAGCAACAGTTGTGGAAGGACACAAACCGATTCCAGGATTATAGAGAAGGTCCATAGAATCTAGTTATTGGGATTCACAGTTAGCGTCTGGAGAAAAGCAGTTGCGGCGGTCAAACTCACCTCTTCAAACCACAGTGCAGGATATTTACCGAAAATGGGAATCACAATAGGCGAGAGTAGGAGGGAACCTCCGACAGAGGCCAAGGCCATTTTCCACGCTCTCTCCGTCTCACGGGTTCTAGGGAACATTCTCATCATCAAAAATATAGTATAGAATGACGATATAAAGTAGAAGAACTTGAAAATGATGTTATAAGGCTCTGTCCAACCACCATGGCGAAGCAGATCAGTGTAGCGCGTAAGGAAGACCAAAGTATATAGCATCTGAGTCAAGAGGGAGACACCTGTGAATCGTCACTCTATTAGCCAACAGCTGAAAATACCATGTGTGCCACAAGTACCTTCAGCGCTCCTGTTTCTATGGATGGTCCATATAAGGACACATTTCGACGCAAGGTGGGTGATGTCCGCAAGGACACGCGGGACAGTAAACGCCATGGTGCGCTAACAAGACCCAATATCGGTATATATCAAGAGGCTGTTCAAACGACTAGACAAGCTTGCCTCAGGCTTGCACCATCAACAACTGCTCGAGAGGGGCTCTTGTCGCGCGGTGCTTGGGTCTTCCAGCGACTCGATCGCAGGGTTTTAGACAGTTGTGGCGAATGAATACGCTATAGAGACAATATCGACGCGGCTTTCAAGGATGCAATGGATACCAGCGATGTGAAGAGGTGAAAGAGTACAGGCCCGGGCAGTGGGCAAGCGGGCAAGCAAGACGGCAGAACGGAAATGGAACGAAGCTTGGGTGGAGACGTCGGAACCGTTGATAAGCTCAACCTCAGCTATCTAGATCAGCAACGTGAGGCACTGACTCGTCTAGTACAACAATTGAACGGGGACTTGGCCTTGAAAGGACACTGCAAGGTGTAGCCTTACACGGGTGCACGAGACAACCTTTGGCTCTGCTTTCGAGGTTACCTGTCAAGCTCTCGCAGGGCCGCGCGTGCATCACGTGGATCAGATGACGTCAGCCGTCTCGTGGGGATCTCCGTCCAAAATGGGAATAGCCCATCACAGAGCTAGGTGTGGAGGGACTTCCGAGTCGCAGTGACAGCGGGCAGTTCCATGTGAATCCCGTGGGCCAGGTAGGTATGGGTTGAACACGCTCGGTGCAAAAAAAGCTGTCATCCCAAAAAATATCATAAGATGTTTTGCTAAAGACCTCACAATCTAGGGCTCGACGAGGAACCGGCAAAAGCAAAGAGACTCGGCATCCCAAGCACCCGGGCCTGACGTATCATCGGCAGCCCTCCGACAACAACTCACGAACAGCACAACCAGCCTTAGTTCTCTTCAAAATACGAATCCCCTGCACTCGACCAAGAAGGCTTCCGGAAATGGCCGATCTGCACTGGGAGTAACAAAGCCCTACCCACACCTGCAAGTTGACTCATGTTTCTCTCAAGTATATTGACCTTGCAAGGAGATGGGACCTTTTATCTCGGAGGGGTTCCACTTTGGGGGCTCACAGATTTCCTACTTAAAAGCGCCAGCTCGTCCAACCAGAAACTGTGACTGCGCTGGGAAAAAATAAGATGCACCTTGAACCACTCACAAGGCCTGTCTGCTGCTGAAGCGGTTTTTCCCGTATCCCTCCGTTCGGCCACTCAAGATCGTTATACTTGTAGTGCAATCGGCTACCCCGCTTCGATGCCTCTAACAGGGACACAGACAGCAAGGAACAGCCAGCATTTCCCATCATTCCATACTCTCGCCTCTCGCCCTCTCAAGACATTGCCAAGTCCGACTTTCGGGTCAAGGACTCCTGCTGGCGTCGCTCGTGCCAGTCCGTGAGTTTGTCTGACAGTCACCCGATTCTTTTCTGCCCTCTAGGACAGTCTTTGCGAGGGCAGCTGGACCGCTTGATGGCCTTTCTATACTAGGGTCCAGGCTCTTCCGAGTCCCCTCACTACCGTCTCCACAAGGGGAGTGTGCTTTGCCTAGCAGCATGGAGACCGACTGTCGAAGCGAGCGTAATAAGCAATGCCGGGACGGGAATTTATCCATCGTCTGATGGCCGATGAACAGATGGCATCTGCTCCAACTCTAAAAACGTCTAGATCTGACAGTGAAAATCACCCGCTGACGAAAATCGAGAACGAGAGAAAGCATAGCAGGGCCCAATCAGGAGACTGCTCGTTTTTAATTTCCGTCTTGTTTCCTTTTGCGCTGCCTTTGGCTTTGGCCTTGGGTTGGCGTGCAGCAACGAGTCAACATGCCGCTGAGGAGAGAAAGAAAAAGCAAGCGTCATCTGAAGACGGTGGGATTGGGCTGGCACCTGGCACTGGCAGGTCCGAGTTTCTGAGCTGGTCTCGCTTCCTTTTCTTTCATCTTCTTCTCGGCGCTACGTTGCTATACCAGCCGCGTCCTTTCTCTTCGTTCTTTGACGTCGTCTTCCCGAGTTTCTGTAGAGTATCGGCGACTTGCCTCGTACATCCAGTCATCCTGCTCCTACCTTTCTCCCTTCTTTTTGAGACAGACTCGCAACCCACCAACCCAGCCATGAGCCTTGATCAGTAAGTCTCTCTTAACCCTTTCTCCTCCAGCCTACTCAGACAACGACATCGCGCCGTCCCGTAGCGCGTGCTATTACGGCCGTTGTATCCTCAGATGCTGGGAAGGTCAACTTGTGACTGTGCCGAATCCTGTTGATACTTATTGTTCTGTTGCCCCTCCTCTTACTCCTCCTCTTCCTCCTCCAACCCCTTCTATTATTCCTTCCTTCTTTTCCCCGCTCCTGATCGAGGGTCGCCCCTCGAATCTCCGTCTGGCCTCCCGTTTGCCGCTGCCAGCCATTTACATACATGCATGTAACACCCTCATCACACTCGCCCCTCTCTCTGGTCGCTTTCCCCTCAGCTTGCAGCACTACTTCCACGCTGTGGGATGTGCCCGTGTCATCGTCACTTTTTGGTGTAACAGAAGGCTTGTCTTCAGCGACTTAACAGGCCAATCTCCTCGGACCGTTCTTGAGCGGCAGGCTTGCTAATCTCCTAATCATGTGTATGTACAGATGAGTCGGCGCAACGTGATTGGGAAGCTTGCACATCGTCCAATATGTCGTAAGTTCCATATTCGTTCTTCACGGGGCCTAGTGATGCCCAAGCCCCAAAGCCTATTATTCACTTGTTTTTTGACTCGGTTGGGAGCGTATATACATCTGTGGTATATATACATCTGTATACTACTCTATCGCCTTATATATATATATATATATATATATATATATAACCTATATACGCACGCACATACTCTTGGAATCCTCTTCTTTGCTTTCACCATTCTCATTTGTTCCTCACAAGCATTTCACTCTTGGTGTTGGTTAAATTGCCTGCGGCTGGAGTTTTCTTCTCATTAAATATTGGAGATTCCTCACTAACGCGGTGTTACTCTTCTCTCCTTCGCCCTTCAGGCCAGCTCCAGCCTCTAAGCCAGTCAAAACCTCTGTCTCTCCCACTTCACAACAACAGCTTCTTCCCCAGAAACAACAGAAACAACAGCAAAACCAGTCCTTTGAACGCGTAACTTCGTACGAGGGCATTCCTATGCCCCCATCTCAGGTTCTCGCGTCGACTAATCCGCGTAAACGTCGTTCGTCCCCTCCGCAAGGCTCATCGGCAACAATGGCCACCGCGCCTGGAGATGACCCCGTGGCTGCAGCGCCAGACGCCACCCCAAGGAAAAAGGGAAGAACCAACACCCCGTGGACTGCAGAGGAGGAACAGAGATTGAAAACGATGCGTGATGCTGGTCGCAGCTGGAGTGAGATCGCCAAGGTCCGTAACACACATACTTGTTGCTGTTTGTGCTCTACGTGTAGGATTTGACTCACTGATGGTGGTTCAGACTTTCCCTAACCGAACTGAGGGTAGTGTGAAGAAGCATTGGTATAAGGTGCGTTTGAACAACCATACAACAACAACAACAACAACAACAACAACAACAACAGACGGTTGGTTTGTTGACATCCAGATAGGACATGCATTATGCGGAGTTTGCGGAAGACGAGGTTGGTTAATGATTTCTGAAGATAGTCATTTGCAGGTTGGTTCTAATTATTACCATAGTCGATAGCCCTCCGAGACGCCATCAAGGAATATGAGGCGAACAAATGGAAATATATTGGTCAGAAAGTTGGAAAGCCGGCCAAGGTGAGCAACCAAAGCTCGTGTCGGGCACAGCTTGTATGGCCCCAACGCTTAATCTGCAAATTCTAGGCGTGCGAGCAATACGCAAAGGAGCATTTCAAGGATACTTAGAAATCAAACGTCCGCTGACGACGTAACGACCATCGCGATGCTCTTTTGGACACTCCTGTTCTGTTGAATTTGTAGCGTTGCTTCTCACAGCCAGCTTTCCAATCGCAATTTGCAACGTCTAGGCGAAAATTTGTTTTAACTTGGCTGTGCTTGACCTGGTTATACCGAAGTTTGGGAATTCTCGATATTAGCAAGCAATCTGGGTCGCCTTAATTAGCACGCATGTTCGATGCCAGGATGGTGGCTCGGGAATTCGTCGGCAAGAAGTAATTAGACTTGAATGCGAAGTAATTCCAATTCCCAGCAGTTCCTAGTTGAGATGGTCCAAGAGGCGTCCGGTAAAAGAAAATCCGGTTGGGCGGGTTAATCTTTCATTTCTCGCGGAGCCGTTTCTTTTCTTCTTCCCCACCACTCTCGCCGTCAACGTCAACCTCGAGTCCAGCCTCGACTCTGTCCTTCATACCATTATAAGTGCTAGAGCCATCGTGCACTTTACAGCCCATTCGCCCTGTAGAGGTAAAATCACATTCTCCTGCAATACCCCACTACAATTCCCCGGCCCGATGATCATTACTGACTTTCAGCGGCCTTCGTTCGCGTTTCTAGGTCTCGCGCCTCTTCCCATCCAGTGTACTACTACCTCCCGTCTCCTCCGGAGTTGCCATGGCCATGATGAAGCCGAGTAGTATGGAGTTGTCCCTCGATCAAGGTATCTAGGTAACCTGCCTGCATGATGACCGGTGTTCGTCAATTGCGTGCCACCCCACTCTCCTGTCAGTGGCCGCAGTAGTCGTTCTGAGATCATACGGTTGAACTTGATCTGGATAATTCCAGCGAAAGAACTCATGCGCGCGAATATCCCCTTTTCTCGCTCGTGCGCGGATGCTAATCAAATCCATTCTAGCATGTCGTCGGGAAACGCCACGCCTACGCCCGCGGTAGACGGCACAGCCGTGAAGGAGAATGAAATTCGCTCGACAGCCGTATTTGGAGAAAACCAGACTTACAATGAGGAGGCGCTTGATAATTCCCGACGGGCAGGCGGCACGTCCGTGCCTCAACGACTTACGTATTATCTCAAAAAAGTCGAGGACCAACTGGTCGAGTACAGTCTCGAGGCTCGGGGGATAGAACGAGTGCAGGAGCACGAGCGCATCCCGAAATTATCCTGGATCTCGTATCTGCAGGTCTTTTTGCTCTGGATGTCAGTCAACCTGGCAGCGAATAATATCACGCTTGGGATGCTAGGCCCGGCTGTGTACGGCCTTAGCTTTCTGGACTCTGCTCTATGTGCTGTTTTCGGAGCGCTTGTTGGCTCGACGGCGTCCTCATGGATGGCTACTTGGGGCCCTATATCTGGAATTCGGACTATGGTTTGTTTTATGCTTGTTCAACAAAATGAAGTATGCTCGGTCTAATGGACTTTACAGGCCTTTGGGCGTTATACTATGGGATGGTGGCCTAGCAAACTTATCGTGATACTGAATCTCATTCAGATGATCGGATATTGCCTGATCAATTGTGTGGTTTGCGGGCAGATCCTCTCCGCTGTGTCCCCGAAGGGAAGTCTATCAGTTGCAGTGGGTATGGACATTTGGATTCTTTCTTATTCTACATCCAACGGTAACTAACCAAATAACAGGAATTGTGATCATCGCTGTCATTAGCTGGATTATCGCCACGTTTGGAATCCGAATTTTCCATTATTATGAACGGTAGGTCCATGTCTCCACACTTGATAACAGAGTGCTAAAATACGCAGCTTTGCATTCTTACCCCAAGTCATCGTGGTGTGCATTTTGTTCGGCGTATCTGGTTCAAAGTTTGACCTATCTACGCCATCTCAGGGAGACACTCGTACCATAGTCGGGAATCGGTGCGTTGTATATGATCTGCCGTTTTCAACTTTCCCCGAACTAACGGCACCCTGTCCTTAGACTTTCGTTCTTTTCTCTGTGTCTCAGTGCCGCGATCACCTATACACCACTAGCAGCCGATTTCTTTGTCTACTACCCTGAGCGCACATCCAGAATCAAGATCTTCTCGCTCTCGCTTTTTGGTCTCCTCACATCCTTCACCCTCGCCTTCCTCTGCGGGATTGGCCTCGCATCTGGCATAACCGCACACCCCGAATACGCAACCGCCTATGGCAATGGCCAAGGTGCGCTCATCGTCCAAGGTTTCAGCCCCCTCCATACCTTCGGTAATTTCTGCTCCGTGATTGTCGCCCTCGGCCTCATCGCCAACGCCATCGCACCGACCTACTCTGCGGGCGTCGACTTCCAAATTCTAGGCCGGTATGCTGAAAAAGTGCCCCGTGCGATCTGGAACACCTTCGGCGTCGTAATATACACCGTATGTGCCCTTGCGGGCCGCAGCCACCTCGCAGATATCTTCACCAACTTCCTCGCGCTTATGGGCTACTTCGTCGCGATCTGGCTCGCAATCGTCCTCGAGGAACGGTTCATCTTTCGCCGTGGAGGATCCGGAAACGGTTATAACTGGGCTGTCTGGGATGAACCGTCCAAGCACCCTGTTGGCATTGCGGCGCTGATTGCGTTCTTAGTTGGTTGGGCTGGTGCTATCCTATGTATGGCGCAGGTTTGGTATATTGGGCCTTTAGCGGGATTGGTGGGGGAGTATGGTGCTGATGTATGTTCTTTTTTTTTCCCGCACCTTTTCTCCAACATTTCAGCATATTCCCTCACGTTTCACATGTTTATTGTTCAATTAGCTAACAACCTCTAGATGGGTAACTACGTCGGGTTCTCATGGGCTGCCTTGGTCTACCCGCCTCTTCGATATATCGAACGGAGACGGTTCGGCCGGTAGATGCTCTCTACCCTGAGCACCGCCCAATATATAATAGAGCCGATACCTCATCAGTATAGCTGGGAGATTACGGCCTGTTGGGCGTTCATAACTCACCAGCAACATGATCCATTGAGCATTGAAGCAAGAGGCCATAGAAGATAAAAAAGAAAAGGACAGCTTTGCCCTGAGACCGGGGGTGAACCTTCCTTGGAGTTGGAGGTGACCTTAGACAAGGTTAAAGTTCAACCATCTAAGGTTCCAGGCTGGGTGCGCCTTCCCGGTTTCACTTGCGGCCCTTCCCGCCGTTGTTCCTGCCGGTTTGGTATAGATATATATAATTCGTATGAGCGTATTATAATGGAAACTACCTACGGCATGGTCGCATTTCCCCCTGTGTTTAGTAGTTACCCGATAGGACCGTTCAAGAAGAAATAGGCAGGGCCGATAGTGCTTGCCTTAAATGAGGCCTACTAACCTAGATAAGTCGTACCTTCCTGTTTTGATGGGTCTCCTCCCACGCGTACAGGGAAGGAGCTACCCTACATAGGTAAGATAAGGTAGATGGTCGAACCTTCCAAGTTCGGCTGTTTCCTGGCTGTAGCTATCTATTGAATGGAGTAGCACATCACGAGCAACATGAGTTCGTGCTGTCATAGAAAAAGAAAACTCTACAGGGACAAAAGGAATAACCACAGCTTTATTCATCTTCACTATTCTACAAGAGACAAATGCAAGAATTCAGCCAACAAAGATAAGAAATGCAGCCACATACTTAGTATAGGCATAGACGGGCATATTTTATACTTTGTCATCTAAATCCCCGACCCACAACACCGCATCTTATATCACATTGGGACGAAGGGGGTAAAAGGAAAATCGAGGGAGGGAATCAACTACCGCGCCATTATCAATCGACTCGTCGTACATGAAGTTCGATTAAAACCGTTTACCGGTACCAGTACTCGGGCTTGACGTAGTCGGCGAAAGTCTTGGGCTCCTCGTGGGGAGGGTGGTGGCCGTGACCGTGGTCGTCGTGACCGTGGTCATCTGGAAATTAATGTTAGTCTACATTCGTTCCAGTAAATAAGTAAGGTATCAGGTGCAACTCACGAGAGTGAGGGTCGTCAAGGGGACCGACGTAGTTGAGCTTGACGACGTTACCGCACTCGTTGCAGCGCTCGAGAGGACGCTCGCGAGAGACCTGTTATTACCGATTAGTGTCCGGCCTTGTGCATATTTGCTAGAGCATGTTTATGTTCTTACAGTGAGCCAGTTGACCTGGTGGGAGTCAGCAGGGAAACCGGTGCAACCAGCGTACTGCTCGTCACCGGCACCGTTGACGATGATGGGGTTGTCAAGAGTTCCTATCGTTCGCACATCAATTTAGATTCCTTCCCATCCGCACAACAAAATAGATAAACCAAGCGTACCCTTTCTGGAAGCATCAAGAGGCCTCATGTCGAAGATGTCAATTCCCTGCATCTTTCCGATAAGTTCGAGACGCTCAAGACCGGTAGCATGCTCGATGTCGGTAGGGACGGTACCGGGCTTGGCACCGGGGGGAACCAAGTCTTCTTCGGTCTTGATCTCTGTACGAAAAATGGATACCCGTTAGCATTTACAATTCCTCAATTACGTCAACGTTGGTAGGTTGGTGGGTTGGAAGCCGGAGCAGCGCGAGGTGGTGATAGGGAGGTAGGTGGGCGCTGGGAACTAGCAGAACACTCAATCGCAGCAGAAATTGCTCATAGTGTTGTATGCAGCTCGTATGTGATCGGTTGTGTGCAATTGGTGTTTATATAACGTCAGGTTCGGCAGGACACTAACCTTCGAAGGGAAGAATCTTGCCCTCCTGCTTGGGCTGCCACTTGCTCTGGTTGGCTAAATCAAAAGGATTCGTGTTAGTTACTGTACATGAGATGATAGTTGTTCTCCCAAATAGTAACAGGGTGCCAGCCATGTTCAATCGAGTCGCGAATGAGATATGGCATGATCCCGATCACCCATGGGGAGTTGAGTATTTTGGGGCTCGCAGTCACGTACAGCGGACGATGGAGGAGGAGAATGGGCGGACGGACAGGGCCCGGGTAGGGGCGCGCCTCGAAAGGGCGATAGCTGTGCGTTGGAAGAACATTGTCCTGCGCGAATGGATGCAATGGCCAACGGACAAGGCGTGGAGGTCTGGCAGAGAGGGAGTTTGGAGGTTGAGGTGAGTTTGAAGCCGCTTCGGCCCGTGGTCTGACCTGCGGTCACCGCCTTAGTCATCCACGCTCGATGATTGGTCACTGAGCTGTTACGGCTTTCCGGAAAAGCCCGTCTGGCAGATTACTGAATCCGGAACGCCAACCAGGGTTTAGGGCTTTCATATGCATCCATCATGCCAGCCGTCTTCACGTGCTATCAATTAGTATCAGCTATCGTCAGATCATTAAAGGGTTTGATAGAGTACCAGCCCATGACATTTAGGATTCCACAAGGCTAACAGATATCATACAATAACTTCACGCCTGCCATCCGGTCTAGAGCCATTGCTAGTAAAAAACTTGTGTCCTCCAAGTACGCCCTTTGTACAACCTGCCAAGAAAAGTAGGTCAAAGGGCAGAATAAGTAAAGATGAGCTAAAAAGAACGAAGGAGTGTAAGAAAGTAGTGATTACGTAGGAAAGGAAGAGAAAATGGGGTAGAAAAGAAGTGGTGGACGGGAATATGTGAATTGCTCGTGTCCATATGCGTGTCAATCCGTAAATTTCCATAACATCATCCATAACGCATAACAACTCTAGTCAGAGCTGTGTTGCTCTTTCTCGACAGGCTGCAGGTGTAAACCCATTGCCAACTTTTCCAGCAATTATGCGCCAGCGATCGTTTTCGTACTCTTGGATAGCCCGCCGCAGTCGTTGCACCTATCCATGCGTTAGAACACAGGTGGCATAAAAAAAAAAAACAAAAAAAACAAAAGAAATCTAGCCGCAAGAGAAAACGACGCAGCGAACTTGCTTACCATTTCATCACTCCAAGCCACATCTTTCGCCTTCAGTTTGGTGCAATAGCGGACCTGCAACGTGCCGCTTGTTCGACCAGGGAAAAAGTCGGCTATTTGCTTCCAAGTCAAGTTTTTATTTTCTTTTAATTCAACCAATAAAGCATCTTCCTCCGGAGTAAACTTAAGTTTGGGGCCGCGCGGTCGAGGCGCCGGGTCAGGCATCCCCGGTTGACCCACGACACTCGGTGGGCCAGACGGCAGCGGCGATGTCTCTATATTCATACCATGCCGCTCTGTAGCGCGAATCGAGGTGTGAGGGGGGAGATGGTGGTGGTGGTGATGTTGCGGTAGGCCCATATGGTCCGTTGGCCCAAAGCTGTGGCCTGGCATTGGATGATGGTGCTGCGAGGAATCCCCATGCACGGAGAAGAGCATTTCGGGAGAATGGGTTGCTTCCTCGGGCGCATCTGGTGGAAGGACTGGTAACTGTCTGATTCCATGGTCTGTGTTACCACCCTCTGGCTCGGTTTCGGAATGAGGTCTCTTCTTGCCACGCTGGACGGACGACGCGATGTCAAAGTTGGCAGTGGTGTACTGCACCGGGAGCTGACGGGGTAGCATTTGAGCCTGGTTGAGGACAACTGCTTGCGAGATATTGGGGACTGCGGACTGTGGTGTCGCGGTTGGAAGCACGGTCGCATTCGCATGGTGCTGCTCGAACGCTGCGCCCGAGTTTTCAGATGTGAACGAAGCGTCTGCTTGTTTCGCGTGTTGAATGTGTGGCTGCTGGGGGTGATAGACGAGCGTGCCTTCATGTTCCTCAGGTTTGCAGCTAGCATGTTGAGAGTAGTCAATGGCATAGTCTCGGTACGGATCCGCCAGCGTCGCGGACATACATCGGTGCTGCTAGAGCCTACAAGCCCCGGCAGTCTACCGAGCCGACTGTCGAATGGTTCTAAAAAGGTGTGGTAGGCAAATTGCCAAGGGACACTGTTGGTCGAGCAACAGTGAGCAGTATTAAAATGATAGTCGCGTCGTCCTGGGAAAGTGCTCGCTAGGCCAATATTTAGTCGACGTCTCGTTCTGGCGCCAGGTAGTTGTAATAAAGAGGAGCTGCGGTTGCCATGTACCAGATCACAACCCAAGCACCCCGGACTCGCCTTGGACCGAATCAAGATGGTACTTCCAACTCTACCTCCGCGTCAGAATAAAACAAGATAAGATATCGCAATACCGTAATTGGACCGACGAGGATATGTGGATCAGGTAGGGCAAAAGAATTTTCAGAGTAGAAAAACGAGAGGCTGGATTCAACTGGAAATCACAAACGCGCAATGCAACAGTCCCAAAGGAAGTGGGGAGGCGGGAGAGATGAGAGAGAGGGAGAGAGAGATGTGAGAGAAAACGAAGAGCGTATGTAAATACCAGGGTTGGCTTGTGCTCACCGGGGTCGGACGGACTTTGTAAGCTCCAAAAATACTAGGTTACCAAGACGCTTTGCACGTATTATTCTTCACCAGCCAAGCGTAGGATACGCTCAAACAGAGGTTGGGATTTGACCAGGTCTAAGCGGGAAGGGCTAAGTCTGAGGAAGGCCAGAGGCTTGAATTGTCCAAACGGCTCGTTAGCCGTAACCCAAATTGTGTCTATAAAAGTTGCAGAAATGGACTCGGAATCGAAGAAGATACGAAAGGGGGCTCGGGATGGACGGTAAAAAATGGAATGGGAAGCAGGGTCAGGATAGGGACAGAATATGCTGTGGTGCATGGGGGTAAAGTCCCTATGCAGCCCGTTAAATTCTGGACTGCGGTTGACAGCAGCCAAAGACTGGGAAGGAAGGATTCTGGAAAGAGACAAAGTATTCAGGGTAGGTCCAGAATTACAGACAAGGCATACGCAGCAAGTGATACATTGCCAGGACCAGAGAGATGAAGGTGGATAAATGAAGAGAAATCGCCCATTTGGTAGATCTGCACTCTGGTCAAGCTTAGCTTGCAAAGAGGGCCAGGATGGATTCAGACTCAGAGTACAACGGTCTTGCTTTTGGGATGCTGCTTGCGAGGCGATTTGATGGGATTCCTCACTATCATTTCGCACCCCCCCCAACGGGCTGTTCTGGTCCAACGCCAAGGCACGGCAGTCGCAGAAGGAAACAAAAATGATGGTCGGAAAAAAAGAGAAAAGATCGAAAAGGGTAAGAAAAAAAAGGAACTCCAAAGGCAGAAAGAGTGTGGCATGAAACGCTCAGCACGACAGAGAAGAGTCTCACTGGTAATCGTCCTTGGCTTGATTTCTTTGAACGCTATTCGTGATCAACATGAAGCGGGGGGAGATCCAAGCCCAATTCATTCGCACGTCTGGCAGTATTGAAGGTTAGCTCATTGGATACGAACGTGGAAAGAGGCTGGTGGGTTTCGGAGTCAAGGAATCAAACCTGCGGCTGGGCGTGCTTTAACTAGCTAAGGAATCCCACCCCTGTCAGGACATGGACCTGTCGTACGCCGTCGCAACAGCTCCACCGGCCAGAGACGCCAGGAGTGGCTAATCGGAAGCACCTGTCGGCGAGACACCCACGAGGGGAGGTGGGTGATGAGGATTATGCGAGACGAGGGCGCCGGTTGGAGGGGGTTGTGTCATCCTTTTGCCAGTGAGAGGTTCCAGCCTCCCCCATCTTTCCTTGAGTCTTGACTCGAGCAATGCATAGATGGAATAGGCGCGGGATCTCTCGAACAATGACCCAGAAGAGGGTCGCGCATAAACCGCACCTGCGTCGCGACTGATTGAGATGGGTCCGTACTCTGTAGGGATGAAGGGACAATGAACCCCGTTGTCTGTGGCGTCCTCAACTATATCGCGCATAGGAGTAGCGTGAGACTCTAACAGCAGCAATGCAACAACCCCCGTCTCTTCCTTTCCCTCTTCCTACCTCCGGAGTAAGTTGCCCGGCAATTACGATTTCCCCTGACAATTGGCGACAGTGAAACCACGATTCTCCCTACCAGCTTCATCTACTTGAGGAAAATTCCGTCGTGATAATCCGGCTTTTCAGCGCGAGAGCCTCGGGTCAATCTTGCCCCCAATTGTTCCAACTTCCAGTTTCTTGGGAGGAACAAGGACGCTCGCCTGACCCATAGGCTTTGACTTCCCCCTTCGACGAGGCCCGCGACAACGGTCGGACGGAGCAAACCAAATTCTAGTGTCCGAGCGTGTGTGGGTGGCGGGCGCAGCGAAAGATGGGATGGGTTGCTCCGAGCTCGAGCACCACCCTATCCTTCTTCTATGCCTAGTTTGGTCCAGGACGGAGCACCGTAACCCAAAGTGTATCACCATGTTGATTCCTAACAATCCAGCGAGGAGCGAGGCCGGTCGTCCGTCACCGAAGTTCGGTGGAAGGAGCGCAGTCATCAAGCAGGGCGAGCAGTAATTATCCCGTCCATTCGTGGCTCTCTGCCAGTTTGGAGCCAGCGTGGCTCTGACGGGGATGAGCTGTTGACAACTTGACTGAGGGAGGAACGAGGCTCCTAAATCGCCCAGTAGTGGACCAACCCCGGTATCTTGCAGTTGCAGTCATCAGCAGCCGTCCGTTCATTTTGCTCGATCGCGCGCTTTCTTTCTTTTCCTTCCTTGAGATTGTTTTCCATTTTCCGATTGAGTTTAAGTTTGTACCCCGAGCTTGAGCTGGGATTATGAGGCAATGGTGAAACGGGATAATCGCAACCCCCACGCATTTCGTTCGCTGGGCGAATGCAGGAAACGAACTAATGAAGTTGACCGAATTGTCAGGGATTGAGACTAGTATTGCCCATAAAAAGAGCCTTGAACGCGGCCAGAACTAGCTGCTGGCGGACCGATGCAATACGAGGGTCAGGGAAGATTCGATGCAGATTGAAGATGAAGGGTGTTGTGGGAAGAGTTCCAAGTTGGCTGGAACGCCAGAAAAAGAAACCCACTGTGGACTCCCCCCATCTGCATCTGCTATCCGTATCTAATTATTCCACATTCCTACTGGGATCGCTGGGGCTTTGCGTGAAACTTGGCCAAAAATAAATCATGACTTATAGAACTAGCTATGTAATGTACACATACAACCTGGCCGACTTCATTTCCGCGGCCTTTTCCTTCGCACGTCCGTAATATTGATCAAGATCGTCATAATGAAACAACATGCACGAAAGGGTTTATCACAAATGTATTATTGCAGGAAGCACGGAGAGTCAAAGAAAAAAAAAAAAAACCTTATGGTGAACGCAAAGGATAATGAAAACAATCAACGCCCGCCAACCCTCGCGTAACTTAAGCAAAGTTATCAGATCGATCAACCCAGATGTCCTCCAGTTCGGCGAAGTTCTGGAAGTGCAGAGGGCGATGCTGATCGTCGTAGAATCTGAGAGGCGTATCAATTTTGACATACACAGGGCGCTTCTCGACGCTTCCGTACGAGCTTCCCATGAAGCTGTAATTCCATAGGTTGTCTTCGGGAACGAGGAAATATCCACGAATCTTGTCACTGAGCAACAGCTGGCATTTCTCGCCCATGTTGGTCGAGAATCCCTGAGGCTGGTCGGACGTGGTATCACGGTTTTCAGCCCCCCACTTGTAACCCTGTGGGGTGAGCCCCCATGCCGCAAGGGAAACCGAGCCCGGTGTGAACGAGACAGTCATTGTCACCGTCTTCTTATCCCAAGACGAATGGGCATTCATGAGGCGGGAATGCTGAGTTACGTCCTGCGCCGTCATGTAAGGCGGCTCATTGCCGGAGATAGTGTGGATGACACCGAGTGGCTCCAAGCCGTTGAGATAATCGTGCTGCGGCAATTGATGCGGCAGTTGAACTTCGCGGGTATTACCGACCTGTGGGATCATGACGATTGTTCGAACTTCCTTCACCTGCTCGTTATCCGGTGGCGAGCTACCGTACAGGTATCCGGCCACCTGCACCCGAAGATCCGCAATCATGATGAATCGCTTGAGGATGTTCTTGGGCATGATGTACGTGTAACCCTCCTCGCGGATATCATCTGAAGAAACGTAGATATTGTTCGCCCTAGTGCGAAGATTGGACGTCGCGATCGCACGGGTACGCCACTCGGTCTTGGAGGCGAATGACTGTTGTTCATACTGAGACGTTGTAGTAACAATAATGTCTTCGCCACGGACATTCTGTGTCTTTGTGGTAACAGCTGTAAGCTGCTTCGCCTCCTCCTGCTGCTTCTCAATCTCTGCAGCTTGTTGTCGCTGCAACGATGGCGCACTGATTTCCATACCAAGAATGATATCTCGGACTTCACTGCTTGTCAAACTCTGAACGTTGACGTTGTTCTTCTTGCCGTAGTCGTTCAAAATCAAGTCACGCAGCTGCACTTCGACCTTCATCCAGTCCTCATCAGAAAGGGACGGCCAGATGTGATGCTCCAGGGTAATGACACTCTTATCGGGCCGCAAAATGATCTTCGCCTTGTCAATGTTAACGTGAAGAGCACGCAAGATCAAAATCAGTCTCGAGAAGGCAGTGTATGGCGAGATGGTCTTGAGCCATTCATCATAGAGGTTGAACAGAACCATCTGAGGCTCCGTTGCGCGCAAGATCATATCTGCGAGCTTCTCAACCTTCATAGCAGCCTGGAAAGGTAGCTGAAGCTCGGAAGCACGAATAGAGATGTTGGGGAAATCAAGGAGATGGACTTCGAGAGGATCAAGTAGACCCTTACGAGTAACAATGAGCTGCTTGGGTTGTTCTTCGACAGGCAAGGAACGGATAAGGGCAGCAACTTCTTCTGCTGTCTTCCACTTGGCAAGCTGACCGAGACGCTTCTGCCCGGCCCAGACACTGGTGTGGATAATTTTCAAGAACAGTTGCCCAGTTCTAGGATTGAAAATGAAGATGGCACCGTTGATAGGCTTGGTAGTAAGATTACCTTCGAAGGTCTTGTGGATGGTAACACGGTAGACGTTGGTATCATCGATAAACAGCTGAATCTGTGGACTGAAGAGCTCGGAGTAGTTTTGCGAGTTGAGGAATTCCTGGTTGCTTTCAGAGGCGTAGAGTTGGAGACCCTTCCGGATACGTTCCCTCAGCACATAGAGGGCAGGATTGGCCTTCATGATCTTCGCCATCGCCTGCTGAACAAGAGTCTTCAGACCAGGGAAGTACTGTCCGTACGCGGAGTATAGATTGTACGCAAGGTCAACTGCAACCATCAAACCCGTCGCAGATGGATAAATACTCATGCTGTCGGTGGTGTAGTCCAGGTACTTAGCACGAACGTATCGTTCGATGTCGTGAGAGTCGTAATCACCATATCGAAGTTGCACATCGAGCCAGAATTTGTTTGTCGTCGTCGGCTCGTATACGTCCTTTGTATCAAAGAGAATGGAGGGGCGGGTGACGTTCCACTTGTTGGTGGCGAAGAGCAAAATATCCGCACATGAACTGTTCATCTTGTAAGATTTACGTGGGTGGATAGTCTCCTTTTGAACCGCTTCGATGCCGAGTTGCTCGAGTTCCTGATCAAAGACCTGGCACAAATCCATGACTACAGACTCGTGAATCTTCTGCCACAAGTGAGCACGGAATATCTGGATCAAAGAGATCTTCAACGTAGGGATCTTTCCGTGCAAGAAGATACCAGTGAGATCCAGTTGCACCTGGAAACCGACATAGACATTGGCACGGTTGATGGTTGGGGACCACCAAAGGGTGAACCGACGGTTCGGGATCTGATTCAAACCAGATCGCTGGGCGTTTGTGAGCTTCTTGAATTTCATTGACCTATAGAAACGGTTAGTTGGGCCATGGTCGAAGTAATCACGTGATTAATTAGGGTTATGCCATGGCCGAATTTCGTCGAATTTCGACCATGGACGGTGCAAAAAAGGCCGGGAAAATGAAAATAAAGGAAAAAGGAAGCACGTACTCTTCGAAACCGCTCGCTCTTTCCCAAAACAGACCCTCCCAGGATGGGAAAGCCGTTGCCTTGAACAGGGTGTGCTCTAAAATGGTCTCAACACCACCCAGAGCCTGTATGACGTCGGTACGGTAAGCGTTCAGATTCCAAAGCTTTCCATCATGCCTTTGGCTAGTCCACCAGAAGGGATTGCTCTTCATGAGCTGATACTGTTTGAATTCAGCACGAAGACGGAATCCCTTGTCGAAACTGAGTGTGCTGCGATCCTTCTGGAACAGCGTGTTGATACGGGGCAGACCGCGGTCCCAGCTGTCTTCGAGATCCTCTAGGGTTAAGCGTCGGTTTTGCTGCTGGGCTTCCATACGCTTTTGGGAGTACTCCATCCATACTCGTTGTGAATCGATGAATTCTGCTTCCCAGGGTATGATGTACCTGAAGATATTCGGAATTAAGGTTTCCTCGTCATGTGACATACCGGCGCGGAAGTGGGTAATTCCGGTATCGGTCTGCTTTGACCACCGCTTGTCGCTTGCCGGGATGAGAATGTGAGAGCCCGAAATCATACCAAGACCTCCAAGTTCCTTGGGTGTGTAGAAGACAGCGGGGGGGAAACGGGACGGCATCTTGGAGTTCAGACCGATCTTGACACGAGTCTGGATCTTAGTCTCGCACTTGACGATTGTGTCTAGGAGGTTCACTGTAGACACCGCGGCTTCACGGTAGTAGGTGAAGAGCGCAATCAGAGCAGTATTCCACTTGTTTGCGATCTTGGTGAAGGTCGTCGAACCGGAGGACATGAGGATCTGTCGAATCCGGTTGTTGAACTTTTGAATATCCTCCTCAGTGACCTGGAGGAAGGCGTGTGCTGTGCGTTCTTTCGTCGAGTTGTCCACCAACGACCAAACGCTGTCCTTCACCGAGAACTCTTCGTTGAGATTGCGAGACTTGGGAAGGATCCGAACCTCGAAACCGGACATCGAGAACAGAAGGTTGGGGTTATCCTTGCTGTAGACGCTAGAGAATGTGTCATCCCAGTCAATCGTGGTG